TCCAATATATATATATATATGTCTTTTATTTTGTAGATGTCATATTTGTATAAAGTCTGGTGTGCCAATAGGCAAAAAACAATATCACTCGTACTTAATGAATCAGATAACATGCTGTCGGATGTTATTGTAAAAAGTAATATCAAGGGCATTGCTGGCTCTGTTCTTGTTATGGAAAAAGATGGCACAAGAGTCGATGACGATGATGTTCTAAAATTTTGTGCCGGTGAAACTTTTATGTTGCTGCAGCCCGAAGAATCGTGGTCTATACAAAATGAAATTGAACTTAACAAAGCATCTTCTGCTTCACTCGCATCTAGTTTAAACGACGAAACATTTTTTTCATTCTCATCAAGTTCGCGATCCATTTCATCGCCAACAAATGAAATATCGGATAATAACATACAATCACGTAATAAAAATTGGAATAGTTTTCGAATACTATGGGATAATTTAGAGTCAACAGTCATCGAAGAACTACAAAATGGACGTCGCAGCAAATATGCAATTAATGCTGTTGTGAATCGTACAGTGTCAAAAATGCGAAATGTACAAAACTTTATACCATCTAAAGCGTTCAAGATAATAGCTGAAAAAATTGTCGATAAATACCCACAAACTTTCAAAGATATAGATGAGGACGGTAAATGTTTTGGAGACGGATCTCATACAACATATTTAAAACTTCGAGACCGAAATTGTTATTTAAACAGACCACATATGAAAAGATGTTTAAGCCGAAGCTTAAATATACCACTGAAAAAACAAAAAAAAGTTTTGTCCGCTAAAGCTGGGTGCAGTAATTGGCAGCCAGAAAAATATGTTGATAACGAAACAGAAGAGACAATAGAAAATAAGAGTAAATTTCTACGTCAAATAATCCATGATGATTCATCAAGAAGCGATCCTAACATTCAACATAAAATTAATTCATATCTTGAAGCTACATATCCCGCGCAAAGATTGTTTCTCAACAATGTTCATAAAATACCTAGTATTGAAGATATTAAAACCACATGGCCAATACTTTTACAAAAAAAATACATGTTCTGGCATTACAAACAACTAATGGGACATTCTATAGATCTTCTAAAGAAAGAAATCTTAAAAAAAACAAGAAAAAATACTCACTTACGGACAACATAAAAAATATAACGATATCATTAATTCAAATATCCCTACAGAGCTAAAATTAATAAAAATTATTATGAAACATTTCAAAGAAGATTTTGAAGGATTATTTAAAACATATCCTGTAAATATTTTTTTAAACATGTATCGTAATTTTTTTTGCTTCTAAATGTCACGAATTTGCATTTAATTAACTAAAATTAATTTGTTAAACAGGAAGGAACATCCTTAGGGGATATAAAACTACCAATTATGGCACCATGCATCGTAATCATAGGTAACTTTGCTATAGTTATACTAGATTTGACTTTAGTATATTATTATATATTTGTGATTGCTCTAATTATTATATATTTGATACAGATGATACAACATATCGAATGTTTTATTTATATATAGAAAATTTATTGATTGAAAGGACATATTGTTTTTATGAAGCCTTACAAATATTGATGTCTGTATATTACATTTTCAATATGGAATATCCCAAAAATAGTACATGTACCTTCGAATTTTTACAAAGATATTTTTTAAATATTCATCCAACCGATGCCTCAAAATCTCGTAAAGTGTCAACGAAATATAAAGTCCTTTCATTGTTTAATAAGTTAAGAGACATATCAGACAAAGAAAATATTACTACACACAAATAATGTTGTAGGCATATAATTATATATATATATATA